AGAAAATTTTATATTTTGTTCTTCCCAAATATATGAACATGTTACTTTCGGGAGTTTAACTATTTTATTTCAGGACGAGTACGCAACCGAGTCTGGAAAGTGGGGGACAGTATCGTAAGAAGGGCCAAAGAGCGAGCCACTGCACAGAACCGCCTGCACATGGGAGCAGAGAAGGGTGCAGTACAGTGGCATGGTCAAGGAGGTGCTACTCTCCATGACCTCCCCCGAATGGTCACAAATAGATTGAATTACAACGCACCACCTGCACTGGCGATCGTTCACCTGGGAACAAACGACTTGGGTCAGAGAGATGCATGCCGTTGCAGAATCGCAATCGATACAGCAATTCAAACTCTACGAGCAAGAATGCCAGGAACCCACATAGCCTGGTCTGGTATTCTTCCAAGATTGTTTTACTACGGTAGCAGACCAGGCCCAACACCACAAGAGGCAATGGATGGTGTGCGGAAGTCACTTAACAAATTCGCAAAGAGGAGAATCTCCCAGATGGTGAACACATCAATGATAGTGCACAATATAGATACCAAAGAGCACAGTCTGTTCCATAGGGATGGAATTCATCTCTCAGATGTGGGCTCGGACATGCTCATCGATAAATTCCAATTTGCAGCCAAGGACACTGGCCTTCTCTGAACAGATTCAGCCTAATGTCAATAGTATTCTATGAAAACCTAAAGTGAGCGATAAAAGTCAATTAGTTGAATTGAGTTATATTTGAGTTATTCCATGAGGTTGGGTTTGAAAATATAAGATGATATCCAGGTAACGGGAGGCATGAGAAATACTATTACACACTGAAAAGTAATTCAGTCGTGGAAGATTCTGATACATTGAATATATAATTCTGTACTGTCAAGTCATGCTTGTTTCAATAAGTAATCTATAAAAGATATATACTGTGACACAAATTTGTTTACCTCTGGGGATAAGGCAATCAGTGCGCATGTAATGATTGATTCGTCAATGTAAATGTATTTTGGCTTTGTTTATATTATGAGGTGGAAATGTTTTGATTCTGAATCTGGAAAATCTGAAGTCACATGGCATTACATTATAATTGTCTAGTGATAAGGGAGCCTGAGTCTGCTGGCAAGGACTGGAGTCAGTAAGACTTGGTCGCACTAAATGTTTCAGGAACCAGTGGGCCATAGGGGAATTTTCCCGACTACGAAATGTTGCTAGCTCGACGGATCTTTAAGTCCGATCACAATAGCCGGTTTTGCCCCTATCTTTCCTCGCGCAGCAGGAGTAGCTCCAAACAGTTTAGAATGCAAATGCATTAACACCTCAACATGAAATGTATAGTTACCCAACTTTAATGCATGACACAAGTGTAGAAGTGAACGGCAATGAGCATAGTTCATATGATGACATCATAGCTGTATGGTTAAATAGGTCAGGATAAATACCTACAGCAAAAACCGGGGGAGAAAGTAGGAGATCTCACGAGATCTGTATAGAAGCTGAATCTAGTTTTAAAAAAAATAAAAAATAATAATAATAAATTAATTAATTAATCACAAAAAAAAAAAAAAAAAAAAGGTATTGGGTGGAGGTTTGAATTTTATATAATTTAATTTGAACACGCGGGACTGCCAATATCTTTGGCCAAGCAGGCCGGGATACGCGTCCGCGTTTAGGAGTGATGAGGGGGACAGGAACCCCAAGAAGAGGGGGATATCAGCGGGAGTTACTATCCTGCTGGTGGATCACGTTCAGAGCCCCATGAATTGGGGGGCTACCGGGAGGAGCTACTATCCTTTCTGGTGATCACGTGACCAGAGATCCTCAGGATTATTCTGAAAAATTAATTCTCACAGTTTGATATTGCAGATAGGATTATATTACATGTATTTTGGTTTTGAGTTTCGCAGAATTATGTTCCTGAGTTTTCATGTTCGTACATAGCAATTTGCATCATGTATGTGTATTGGTATTACAGGCAGATATTGCCTATTTTAAATGTTAACGCCTTGAAGCGGAAATAAATGTCGAGCAATTGCAATTCATGTTCGTACAGTTGCTTTCTTCACAAAATGTATATTTCTGAGTCATTACATTTTGGAGGGGGATGTGGAAGTTACTTTTTAGTTGGGGTGGAGGGGTAGGGGTGGTCTTTTCCTTATATGCATAACGTCAGTTCTCTCTCTCTCTCTCTCTCTCCCTCTTTCCCTTCACCCCTCTCCCTCTCTCCATACAATTTTTAGGGAAAATTTGTGTAAGACAATTTGTAATCAATAGACAATACTGATCGGCATGATAGCTATTTGTTAATTATGTTTTAATTTCTTAAATTTGCAGCTGCACCGTCGGGTAGTCGTCCAAAGAGAGGGTGCAGGAAGTGTTTTTCTTCCTTTGAATGAATAATAATAAAATTTTAGAATAAAAGGCCATGAACATGAAATTCATCATGTAAAGCTAGTCTACGCAGACCTCATTCATGTTGCGATCGTGTGTTAGACATTTATCATTTAATGTGGCGATTCTAACTGGGGAATTTAAACAGAAAGTATGAACAAACTCTCCATTTTCAACCTGTGAAAGACAAATTATCTATAACTTACCACGAAACACTGAGAAATATTTGAGAACGTATCCTTTTCAGAAGCCTGCAGCCAAAGAAATATGTCGACTCCTTCCTACGTTGGATAGGCCATCTCCATTCTTTTACTAGTACTTAACCCTTGAATTCCTTTTTCTTCTAAACTATCAGAATCATTCCACCATTTACAAATCAATGTATAATTACCTACATATCCATTCATGATACATCCTTGAAATTTGTCTATATCACAACCACGGCCACAAAAATCAGTCTGTAATAACTTGCACCAGCCACAATTTCCCCCATGCAAATGCACATACTATGATAACTATACAAAACAAAAACAAAGTTATCATAGGAAGACTGAGTATCCAAATCTCTTTATAGTTCATCGGTTATATGTGTTGAGGATAATTCTTTGAAAAGCCTCCAATTTGCATGCTTGAAAGACCACCTACTATCGGTAATTTTGGATATATGCCCATTTTGTACCTTTCCTATATAGGTATTTATAATAAAACGATCGCTACCTAGATTTTCTCGAGTTGCTTCCCATTTGCTCTTTGCTGCTAAAGCTGGAGCGACTGATGTAAGATCGAGACACGATAGCTTCCCTGTTTGGGGGTCCCACCGGGTTCCCCTCTCATCATTCAATATTACGAGATTACTGTCTGCTACAAACTCTTCGATTTTTCAACCATTTGGATCAGTTGTTACACTTCCCCCAAATAGTGTTGTGGCCATTGAAATCACCACAAACTATCAGATTCTTATTCTTATGCCGCGTTATGGCCTTTAGATTTTGTTTACTCAGTTTTTACAGGGATTGTAGAAGTTTACAATCGTGAACTGTGCATAAACAATGAGGCTTTTTGTTAAGATTATAAACAACATTTTGAAATTCATCCATATGATGTATTAAACCTTGTGCATTCCATTGGGCGATGTGCAATCCTAGGACTGCGTTATCTGTCCTATTGGTCATTGCGTTCTTTCTTCATTTATAAGAGTCATCAAAATAGAAGGGTCCAATTTGATGTTCAAAATCTCTTTAACTCTGTTCGGTTATTGTTTTCAAAATGTTTTCAAGTTTTGTTTTCTGTTTTTGTGAAATATATCACCATGGTAAGATAAGCTATAAACTCTAAAAATCTGTCCTTCATTTCAGTATGTTCCAACATTTTTGGAGGGTCATGTGGTTGCTGCCTTTGTCGGTTGGACAACATTCCTGACGCAGACGGAGCATTAGGTTCGTTCACATTGTTTTAACGATTTGATTCGGTGCTTTCTGGCCTAATCGGATCATTGCTGGCAGCATCAATAGCTGGAATTGGAAGGGGGTTTCTTGGGTTTTGCATAGGTTGTGTTTTGGTTGCATTCAGGGAGGGTTGTGCTTTTACTTTAAGTATTAATTTTTTTTCTTTATATTTGGGGCACCCTTGGTATGCTGCTATGTGCGGGCCTGAACAATTAATGCATTTTGGCGCCTTTTTTTTGTTATTACACTCATTGTATTCGTGATTTTCGCCGCACCTTGCACATCGCGGGCTTTTTGCGTGGCAATCTTTGCTGAAGTGTCCAAATTGTTGGCAGTTATAACACCGAATTAAATAGTCCACGTAAGGCATAACAGGAATATTTTCGAAATCAATTCTAATGTTTCCTGGTGGATTTTCGTTTTTGAAGAACTGTATTAACATAGCTTTCTTTGCTCGTTTCTCTTCTTTAATCTTCTATACATTATGACTCCTTGTCTTTTTCCTGTAATCTGAATTCCTTCTTCTTCTGTAGTTTCAAGCGGTATTTGATCCACTTTCGGGCTTGTTGATCACCCTTACAGCAATGCCACCAAAAATGGTTACCTTCATAAACGCCTTTACCTGGTGGTATGTGTTGCATTGTATTGTCAGTTCATTTCCCTTTCTAATAACCCGTTACTTTTCCAATCTCCCTTCTACCACTAGTGGTCCTAGCTTCGCTACATGTCCATCTATCCCTTTTATTTTCACTGTCAGATATTCCTCATTGACATTGGGCCTTTCTCTTGTAGGACTTTGTGGTAGCTCTGGGTCATTTTCCTCTGACCGTACTCTTGGTCTCTGGTTATTTCTAACTTTATGCCTTACTACTGTAAATTCATCCTCCCCTTTGTCACTGTCCATCCCGTCTACTGAACCTATGTACTCTGTCATTGGCTTCCCAATGCTGCTTACCTGTTTTGACCAAATTCTTTCCTTTTCCAGTATCAGGTAACTATATCCGGATAAGGTATTCCCAGAAATTTCAAAAGTAAAAGTGTCAAAACACAGCACGGAAGCCGTCGAGTTGTAGGTGTTGGGAGAGTGAGTCCTAGATGGTGATGATGATTATGATGATGCTTAATTATCTAATTATAATAGATAACATCGTTCTTTCATTTTACAGAACTTGTAACAGTTTATCAGAGTGGAGATGACCAATCTATTAATGCCTCTGGAGGGTCAAATGTCAAAAGCTGCACGATGACTGGACCGGTGACAAATTTGACAATCCACAATCATCCACCTGAGTCGAGGTGAGTTTATGCTCAACTTTTTTTAGGCGAGAATGAGGCTTTTGTTACGCGTTCAGTTAAAAACACGGTTGCGTCCTTTCTCATTTTCGTATAAACGTCGACCTAAAACGCCGATCTTAAACTCACAAAATAGTGCGTTTTGGATCGGCGTTTCTCCAAAAAGACGGTTTATTGGGAAGCATAAACGCGTTTAAATGACGGCAAAATAAACGAAGCATGCTCAGTGCAGGCTTGCGAATCCAGTTGCAGAGCCCGAATTTGCCTGGAAGAGCTGGAGAAGGGAAGCATAAACAGTACCCCGTGGAACTGCGTCACACCCGCGTCACACTGTCCCGAAGTTGACTCCAGTTAGACACACGAATATGGAATTTTGAATTTCGCACGAAGATGGCCCCGAACTTGGTCAGCAGCTGATCAACACACGATAGCGCCCGAACCACACACGAAGGCATTTTTATTAAGTAGTTTATCCGCAGGCCACACGAAGGCTACAACGATGGCTTCACGACGTCGTATTAAGAGTTCGATGCGTTCGAACTAGGTCACGAAGGCGTCACGTGACCTCCCCCCCCCCCCCCCCCGATGGTATAAAACCTTCGGCCGACCGTGGGAAATCAACTGTGTTCGGAGATTATTGATGCTCCAAAGTGGGGGGGGGCACCAACAAAAAGGGCACATTCTGTATAAAAAAGGGCACCTACAAAGGGAAAATCTCAAAGCGGAAACATACAATTTTTTAGACATTGGTATATATCACTACATTGTGATTACATTCTCTGGGATGCTTTTAATATTTGTTTCTCTTTGTACATTATACAAGATATTGCTTCAGCATCATACTTTGCAGTTGGATGTGATGGTATAAATATTCTTTTGCGAGCAAGCGAAGCGAGGACAATTTTTAAGATTTGTGACGTCGCCGTGCGAAAAATTACATCTTATAAAGAGGAAAGTCCTAATCCTAATGGGTTATAAGCACATTCTCATAATGGAAGACTGAAAAGACCTTTAATAAGAAACATACTTATATCATCTATAACTATAACTACGAGTGTGTGTAGCGAGCGAGCTTTGGGGGAAATTGCTCTTAGTCGCTTTAAATTAGGGGCGCGTTTAATGATGAGAGGAAAAGGCTAATTTTCAGAGGTGAAAATGGGGCACTTCTTATACCTCAAAAGAGGCACTCACCTGGGAAAAAAGGCATTTATGAGAATGGTAAATGGGCATTTGTCGACGGAAATGGGCGCACCCATCAGATTTTGATAGGGCAATTTATAAGAGGTGAAAAGGTGCATTTATGAAAAGGGGATAGGGCCCTAATTAGAAAGGAAAAGGGGCACGTATCATTGTTAAAAGGGAAATTAGCAAAGGTGAAAAGGGGCACTTATCGTACCTAAAAAGGTTATGAGAAGGGAAAGGGGCTCTTTTTTAATGGAGGCACTAATCATAAGGAAAAAGGGGCACTTATTAGAAAGGAAAAGGGTCACATGTGAAAATAAAAGGTGCGATTATCGGAGTTAAAAAGGGGTAGTTATTAAATGGGGAAGGGGCACTTCTTACAAAGAAAAAGGGACACTTCTCAACTTTGAATAGGGTTATTATCAGAGATGAAGGGGGCACTTATCAAAATGTTAAAAGGGGTATTTCTCGTACCTGAAAAGGGGCACTTACTAGAGATTAAAGAGGGCACTAATGAGAATGGAAAATTTACACTTATTGCAAAAACTATTTTTTTATCAATAGTTAATATGAGTGCACCTCTTAAACAAGTAAGAATCAAGCAAAGAACAGAAAAATGGATGAACAATGAAATTATTGCGATAATTAAAGAGAGAAATGTAGCTTACAAAAATATGAAAAGGGATATTAGTAATTTGGATCTCGCAAGAAAATACAAAGCATTAAGGAATCTAGTACAAATAAAGGTTAAAAGAGCTAAAGTCGAATATTTTCAAGATCAAATTGAAGAAAACAAACATGACTCCAGGAAGTTATGGAAAAATTTGAAGGGTTTAGGTCTAAAAGGCAAAGGGAAAAGTGCTCAAGAGACAGTTATTAATGTCCAGGGAGAATTATGTCATGATAAATCAAGAATAGCAAATGAGTTCAATAATTATTTTACAACTGTGGCTGACAAGTTAGCGTGTAAATTACCAGTAAACACGAACAAATTCCATGCCGACAGTGAAAGATTTCAAAAGTTTTATGACGAGAAAGACATCTCAAAAGATAGTTTTCACTTTTCTCCAGTTACAGAAAAGTTTGTTTTAGATGAGTTTAACAAGTTGAAAGTATCGAAAAGTACTGGACTAGATATGATACCAGCCAGATTTTTAAAAGATGGGGCGAGAAATTTGTATGAACCTTTGAATTATATAATCAATTTATCTCTTATGTCTTCTACCTTTCCTGACGACATGAAAATTGCAAAAGTAACACCGCTACATAAAAAGAAAGACAAAACTGACGTTGGTAATTATAGGCCTATCAGTGTTTTAAGCGTAGTTTCAAAAATTTTGGAAAAATCGGTTCATGCTCAAATAGAGAAATATTTTCAAGAAAAAAAGTTAATATATGAATTTCAGTCCGGCTTTCGTAACGGATATTCCACTGAAACATGTTTAATACATTTATCGGATTTTGTTAGGAATGAAGTTTCTCAAGGGCGCTTTGTTGGAATGGTTCTTCTGGACTTACAAAAAGCCTTTGATACTGTAAATCATAACATACTGTTAAAGAAATTGGAAGTGATGGGTTTGGATTCGGCATGTGTTAAATGGTTTAGATCATATTTAACTAATCGTCATCAAGTGGTAACTATGCAGAAGGTAATATCTGATTCCCTGCCTATTAAATGCGGGGTTCCACAAGGGAGCATTTTAGGCCCCATTCTCTTTATGTGTTATATTAATGATATGTGTACTTGTGTTAATGATTCTAAATTACTTTTATATGCTGACGATAGTGTGTTACTATATTCAGATACAAATCCTAAGTCAATTGAAGAAAAACTAAGTGCAGAATTGGCAAAATGCATTGAATGGATGACAGACAACAAGCTTAGTTTACATGTTGGAAAAACAGAAAGTATTTTATTTTGTTCGAAGGGAAAGTTTAAATATACACGTGACTTCAAGGTTACCTATAATAATAAAGTGATTGAGAGAAAAGATTCAGTAAAATATTTAGGAATAAATTTAACTAGTGATCTGTCATGGACAGCTTTGGTAGATTCAATTGCCAAAAAGGCTATTTTTTGTATAGATACCAAACTTGTATGAACATGAAGTCGAGACGTATTTTGTGTTTTGCTTTGATACAATGTTTATTTGATTATGTTAATGCTGCTTGGTACAGCAGTCTGGGCAAGATGGATAAGAAAAAGTTAAGAATAATTCAGAATAAGATGGTAAGATTTATTAATTGCTTAGGCCCAAGAACACACGTCGGGAAAAATGAACTTGAAGAAGCAGGTATACTCCATGTAGGTCAAAGGTCTAAACAACTCGTGTTACACCATGTCCATAAAATATACTACTCAGATGTAGATCATTATATTACTAATAATTTTACTCGTGTCTCAAATATCCATGGATACGATACAAGAAATAGTCATTTTAATTTTGTTTTACCTAAGCGAAAAGGACAAATTGGAAACTCTTTTTATTTTAATGGTATCCAATTTTGGAATTCTCTCCCAAAACATGTCAAAATAGTTAAGAATTTTTCACACTTTAAAAGTGTATTAAAACAATACCTAAAGCATGAATCCCTTCCAGAACAGTAATATCAGTTATCTTAAATCACAGTTCATTATGTGTAGCGCATGTTTTTAAGTTTAATCTTGCATAATATACCGTAGATTATTGTTTGCTATAAGTTCTAGAAATTTTTGTTGTTGTTTATGTTATATTATTTATTCGTAATATTCGTAGTAGTTATTAGTTGTGATATTTTATTCTCATGCCGTACTGTACACGTACTTTATAGGACCCCGTTGGAAATAAGCCTTTTCCGGCTTTCATGGGTTATCCTGTCAATGTATCTTCTCGTTCCATTTTGCTTTATGTATGCATTCAATGAACTATACTTGACGAATAAAATCAATCAATCAATCAAGGAAAATGGTAACTTGTCGAAGGAAAAGGGGCACGTGTCAAAATAAAAGGGGCACTTATCAAAGGTTAAAAAACTAATAAGGGCATTTTTCAAAGTAAAATGGGCACTTTTTTAAGTATCTTACGAAGATATAGGGCCCTTTTCCTATGTAAAAGGCGCACTTTTGGGGTCCTTGACAAAGTGGGGGGGGGGGGGGCTTTCACGATACCAAGGCACATGGAAAAGCTTGAGCTACTTAAATTCGGCTGTCTTCACCGACACCGTGGTCCCATCTCGATGGCTACACGACGGCATTGCGAGGGCTTCAGGTAGTCGTGTTTCCTTCCTAAGACAATTGGGCAGCTTCTTGTTTCCTTCGTATTGTCTTCGTGAGGCGAAAAATGCCCAATGGCACTGATGATCATACGAAGTAAAGGCGAAGGCTACACGATTTGCCAAGATGCCCTCACGACGGCCTTCTGAAGAGCAACATGGACACACGAATTCAACACTATAATGAACCTTCGCAAGGTCTTAGTCTTATACCCCATTCACAGTGGCCTCAAACACCGCGACAGCAGCGGGACTGTCCCGCTGCTGTCGCGGTGTTGTCTTCAGTGTGAAGGCTCGGACCCGTTATAAACTATCGCGGGATAACACCGCCTAGCGATAACGCCGACACAAACTATCGCTAGGGACGCCTAGCTACAGCAGCGGGACAGTCCCGCTGCTGTCGCGGTGTTTACTCAGTGTGAAGGCTCTCCGCTATAACACCGCGACAAACACGTGTGATTTGTTTACTTACCTATCACTGACCTCTTTTCTACAGCAATGGGGAACATAAAGTGAAATAGAAATAAAGTAACCAGTGGATTCAAATTGATTTTATTATTATGTAGGTATTATAATTATCCAAATAAAAATATTTCACACTTCAAAAAATTAAAATATTCTGACTGGAAGCAATAAAAATGCTAGTTTTTTAAAAAGTAATATGATCGAGGATACAAAAAGCAACTTGACATGTTTACCGCGCAATTTCAAGCAAGTATTTCCGGTCATATCGGGGTCACTCGCGGGTCATGAGCCATGCATACACGTGTTTGTTACGGAGGTAATAAAAATCACCCGCTGCAGCGTGAATGGGTACATGATATTTATCCCGCTGCTGCAGCGGGATAACTTTTCTACTGTGAATGCATTTGTAGCGGTGTTATGGCGGTGTCGCCGCTCCGCTACAACGCCGCTACAAATTTCAAAACCACTGTGAATGGGGTATAAACTGCATAAACTATTTGATCTCGGTTGAGTGAATTCTCCCGTCCTCTTTGCCTTCCGTCTCGTTACTAAAGCACCCTGGTGTCAACTTCGGGACAGTGTGACGCGGGCATTATGATGAGCGTTTACGATGAGTGTTTCAAAACGCTCATTCTGCCTTCAAAATTGAGCATAAACGCACCCTAGGAAAACGGGGTTTGAAGATATATTCCTCATTATGACTTAAATGGAAATAATCCGAAGGAAAACTAAAAGGAATATAATATCTAAGGACTTTAAATTTCCCCCCGATAACATAGGAAATATGAAATGGTAAGGCTCACTGGCGTTGCATCAGTCTAGCTATTGAAGGCACTGATTTTATAGAGGGCACTGTTAATTCAAGGTGGGTGAAATAAGAGAGAACAATTTTTTTTGTGTGAGGGACGATTCATCTCTTTTTCACATTTCCTTGCCCAGCCTCTATTCCCTCTTTGGGGTATAATTTACCTCTTTTCCGATGGGACGGCACACGTGGCCCATGTTCTTAGTATAACTACGCCACTGGTTGGGGCATTAGTATACTCATTAGTTAATGAAAAAGCTTATCTGAATCAGGTTACTATTGTAAAGGGAAGGCAAGTGTTTTTTTCCCTCCCTTTTTTTTTTTGGGGGGGGGGGTGTTTTTATTTTTTTATTTTTTTCTTTCTTTCTATCTTTAATATGTTTCAATTTTATTTTGTCTTTTTTTTTCTTCTAATAAAGGGCATCTACTAGTCAAAGTCAAGGTAGCAAAGGAAAGGCTGCTGTATTCTCTGGTGGCAAGGAAAGGACACAAATGGGCGGTAAAAGATAATTTATTTGTCTTGATAAATACAAATATTCATCTGTATAATTTTCTTCTGGTAGAAAGGTATTGGTGTAGACTGGTGTTTACTGTTGTACTAAAGTGTCAACAAAAAGTGCTTTGTTGTAAACGGGTGTTGGGATTTAGGCTTGTGCAATTCTGCTCATAATGAGTTTGAAATATATTGAAATTGAAATTTTGATATATTTGATAAAGAACAGTCACATGTGGGTTTCGCAATTATAAGTGAAGACATATAGAAATTCCAACACAATGAAACGAAAAAATAGATATATGCTTGAACTTTGCCTATATCACCACAACGGCAACGATCAGTCTGGTTGTCATCCGGGGGGGGGGGGGGTTACCATAGCAGCGGAGCACTTTGTAAAGGGCAAATCTTAATATCTCAATGTATGAAGATTAAAAATGTAAGGACTAGACACCCTAATTTACAAAACTACCAACAACAAAACACAAACAGAGGAATATACAGCAATATTAAATATTAGTTATTTAACTCTACTGTTCTTATAATCTGAGCTCAGTGTAAACTGTTTCCAGCGCCAACTGTAGTATCAACTTCCTAGGGGCGTCAATCCGTTTAATTTTTTTTGGGGGACACTGAAATCTGAGTGTCCAAGTTGCGCATAGCGAGCGAAGTGAGCAGAGCGTTATACGGCGTGGGGCAGGGGCGTAAATCCGTACCGAGGAGTGGGGGGATGATCGGCGATAGCCATCACATACTAGCACGAGCACACGCCCACACTAATTTACGCAAGCGCGCGCGATCGCGCAAGCACAAACACACAACACACACACACACACACACACAACTCACACGCACACACACACGCACACGCACAAACAACAAACACACACATACCCAAACACATGTATATAAATTTATACATGCATACATACATGCATGCACATGCCAAATTTGACAACCATAAAGTAAAAGAATTGGACATATTTCGAAATACTGACAGCTGCAAACTGTAGTGTTTCATTATAATGAACTCCGAAATAAGACGACACACTTTCGAGTAGTAACATAAAGATTGAGTATTTCGTCAGGAAGATGCGAACTCTTTATTTTGAGTCCCATCACTTAGAAAATGATGTATAATGGTCAAGGGCGTCGCTAGACCTTTTTTAGTAGGGGGGGGGGGGGACGGGGGTGTAGAGGCCAACGATTACCGACAAAACTAGCCCCCAATTACCGACAAAATTAAATGTCCCAATATTTACAAATTCAACCCTATATACCCGGGGCCGAAGGCTAAATTGTTTTTCCTACAGACTATCTATAATACTATAAATGGTCATTTTCCTCGACGACATAAATATACGAATTATTTCGTCAACTTAGTCAGCATCATAGCTATATATTTTAATGCAGGCGCGGAGCTAGGATCTCATTTTAGGGAGGGGCGGTAGTGAGCGGGCGAATCACTCATTCGCGCGCTCATTAGGGGTGTGTGGGTGATAGGCCTATCGCGCGAAGCGCGGAAGCTTAGACGTTTCCTTAAATTATTAGGAAAAGAAGACGATTTATTGTACTGTTCTCGAATGTTAACCCTTGTCTGAATGAATTCCCCCCCCCCCTCCAGCGGGAAGCGCGAAAGCTTTGGCGTTTCATTAAATTATTAACAAAGAAGACGATTTTCTATACCGTTCTCGACTGTTAATCCTTGTCTGAACTCAGGTCCCCCCCCCCCGCCCCCCCCCCCCTCCCGCGCGGAAGTTTTGGCGTTTCATTAAGTTAATAGAGAAAGTAGACAATTCGTTGAACCGTGCTCGACTCTTAATCCTTGTATGAATTTAGTTTCTCCCTCTCTCTCCCGCGCGAAGCGCGGAAGCTTTGACGTTTCATTAAATTATTAGAGAAAGTAGACGATTTGTTAAACCGTGCTCGACTCTTAATCTTTGTCTGAATTCGGTTTACCCCTCACGCGCAAAGCGCGGAAGTTTTGACGTTTCATTAAATTATTAGAGAAAGCAGACGATTCGTTGTACCGTTTTCGACTCTTAATAAGCCCTATTTATCTAAATTCAGTTTCCCCTCTCGCGCGAAGTGCGGAAGCCTTGACGTATCCTTAAATTATTAGAGAAAGCAGACGATTTGGTGTACTGTTCACGACTCTTAATCCTTGTCTGAATTCAGTTTCCCCCTTCCCGCGCGAAGCGCGAAAAGCTTAGACGTTTGATTTAATTATTATAGAAAGAAGACGATTCGTTGCACCGTTTTCGACTCTTATTAAATTCATTCAATATAAACAACAAATTAATTCATTCATAGACCTACACAAACATCACATGCATTGCAGCCCTTAAATATCATCCACTCGTCCCCTAAGTTTTAGGTGTGAACAAATGAACAAATGGACTTGGGCAATGCAACAGTTACCGTATTATTTATCACTCTCGATCAGATGCGTTCACAGTTTTCACACCTCTTAAAAAATGTTTTTTGAATTTATATAATGATACATGTACTGTGTTTATTAATTAAATCTAATGAATTCTTTAATTTCCTCAGCCAAATCCTTTCTCAAATATAAAAAAAATAAGAATGCGTACAGGCTTACCTTGAAATAACTGTAGAGACAAACGGCCACTCTAAGTCTTGAACACGCCAGGTCTGGAACTTCAGTATTCATCTCCCCCCCCCCCCCCCCCCCCACACTCCGGGGTCGGAAGGACCGTATGCGCGTTCCTAAATCTCCAGGAAAGGAGTATCTTTTCACGCGACAAAATCCGGCCCGAGAGTTGTAAAAAAAGGGGGTGTATTTGACTTTTCACCCGGAGATTTCTTTAAAAAGGGAGTGTTTTTTTTCTCTCTCTCTTTGGACTCCTGAGAAATGTAAAAAGGGGGTTATAAAATATCTTGAATATAATAGAAAAATTGATCAAATCCCGGGGTCAAATTCTTGAAATTCCTGCTAGCTTTGAAAGCTCATTCAGGATTTTTTTTTTGTTGAAAAGTAAAAACATTGACCCCCAGTCCCCCTCGATCGGTACATTTAGCCGTGTTCCGGATTTTTTTTTTGGGGGGGGGGTCTCCAAGGCAGGAAAAGCCAGCGAAAAGCCGGCGAAAGGGGGATTCAGAAATGTTGGCAGTCCTGAGATAGGGGGGGGGGGGTGCTTTCAAAGGGAGGGAACGAGCATACGCGTACCCTAATTAACACTGAGTGGGGGGAGGCGGACATCTACTTTACATGATTGCACTTTTTAAGCTGGCGCACTTTACGTCTGGGCTATAATAATACCTTGCAAAATAACGTAAAATTATTCTGGAGTTTATCAAGTGCTTGTTCGCGCACGTCGCGCAACTACTCTTAATGATCGTGACATACTGTATACGTGTAGGCTATACAGTTATACATACATACAAAAATAACTCATTTCTCATGCATTATGCTGAAATTGAAACAATCACATTTTTTTCCTTCTTCTTCTTCTTCCTTTTTTTTCCTCTTTTTTTTTGGTAATCTCAGGGGGGGGGGATATTTGTACAGGCCATCACACCCCCACCTTTAAGCGAGGGGGGGGGTGCATCCCCCCATCCCCCGGGATTTACGCCCCTGTTGTGGGGTCCAGGTAGGTGTGACGGAATGTCTTTCAAAGTGGGGGGGGGGGAAGGCACCAATAAAAAGGGCACTTTATGAAAAAAGGGGGCACCTACAAAGGGAAATCTCAAAGCGAAATATACAATTTGTACATCGCGATTACACTATCAGGGATGATTTTAATTTTTTTTTTCTTCCCTCTTTACATGGTGTGAGATACTGCTTAAGCATTATACTTTTGCAGTTGGGTGTGATGGACTGAATAATTATTTGCATTGAGAGCGAGCAAAAAAAAAAAAAAACAAAAAAAGAATCCTGATGGTGTTTTAAGCGCAATCTACTCGTGAAAGACTGTCTTTGATAAGAAACCTAATTATATCATTTAAAAATGCGAGCGAGCTTTGGGTGAAAAAAAAAAAGTTGCAACTAGTTGCCCTAAATTTGGAGCACATTTTATGGTGATGGAATCGGGGGCACAGATCCAAAGGGAAAAGGACACTTATGAGAACAGAAAAAGAGCACATGTTAAAGTAAAAATGGGAATTATCAGAGATGAAAATGGGGCACTTCTCGCACCTAAAAAAGGGACACTCAGCTGAGATGAATAGAGGCACTTATTACAAAATGAAAATGGGCATTTGTCGAAGGAAAGGGGGCTCCTATGAGATTTGTATAGAGGCATCTATCAGAGGTTTAAGAAGGGGGTATTTAAGAAGGGGGAAGTGGCTCTTTTTAAAAACAAAAAGAGGCATTTATCAGGAAAAAGGGTACTTATTAGAAAGAAAAAGGGCCACGTGTAAAAATAAAGGGGGGGGGGGCACTTATCAGAGGGGAGAAGTGGCATCATCAAAGACGAAAAGGGGCACTTATTAGAAGGGCCCCTTTTACAAAAGAAAAGAGCACTTGTTAAAGTAAAAAGAGCACCTGTCAGATTTGAATAATGTCAATTATCAGGTAAAGGGTGGTAAGAAGCACTTATAGGAATGTAGAACGGGCACCTATTAAAAACAAAAAGGGGCACTTATCTGAAGTAAAATGGGGCACCTTTCCTATGTAAAGAGAGGCATTTTAGGGGTACTTGAAAAAGTTGGGGCACTGTGCCCCTATTGGCCTTTATTCATATGGAACAGTCGCTACGACAAGATAACATCCATTTCACACCCAAAATAAAAATCGTTTTAAAAATCAAAATAACTTGTTAGGTTTCGAGGGTATTTTAAAATGTTGGTACTTATGATACTAAAATATCTTAAGTACCGAAATGTAGGCCCAGTGGCGTCAATTTATTGTGTATGTTTTTATACTTGATTCATGCGATTTGGTGAATAGTTTTAGTTAACATTTAGATAAACTCCTTAAGCCCATTCAAACCATCGCACGATTTTTTGTCACGTTTTGACCAATATTAACTTATTTAGATAAT